TCCCTGTAACAGACCCTTATTTGTGCCTTGCAGAGAAACGCGGTACCAAATACAGTAAATAAATAGTAATATCTGGTGGTGACTCACCAAAAAGATCATATTAAGGAACAGATAATATTAAGTAAAGGCTAGCTTTTGTATTCACACAGACTAACTTCTTGACGTCAGCAGCCTGAATCGCCTTTACAGTCTTAGCACTTTCTGACAGCAGGCTTTGAGCCAAACAAAGCCCACTGGCTTTAGTGGTGTAAAATCCCAACCTGAATGTCTATCAGAAGGTGACATTTGCCCCTAAGCTGCTCAGGAGCCACAGAAAAAGGCAAAGATAAGGATGGAGTTGAGCTGGAAGTGTTTAGGAGTTCCTTTTTTTTGGCATTTTGTCTTTTTTCCCATGTAAGGTGGGAAGGCAGCAGTGCTGATAAGCGATTACTTGGCTTTTCGCTGTCAGAAAGCAGGAGGGTTTTGCTGCGCTCTTGTGCACTTGGTGCTAGCAGAGGACCCGTGCTGGCTGGGGCTTGGGCAAAGTGCCCCAGGCAAGCAGAGATGAGGGCACAGGGCAGAGCAAAATGTATATTGGTATTTTTTGTATGTGTGTTCTCCTCATGGCCTGTCTATTTTATATCTGTCTTCTTGACTTTTAGATGAAAATCTTTGACAAAAACAAAGATGGACGGCTGGACCTGAATGACCTGGCAAGGTAGGCTTAATAATATTGATGGGGTTTTTAGCTCTCAATGGCAGTTCCAGGCAAGGTGATGATCTCCCTCTGGGGACATGCATTTGAATCCTACCTCCTTTCAAATTAAATCAGGTACTCTGATGTAGGTATCCCAGGTCTGTAATGCATGATCCCTCTCACAATAATCTGAGAACCTAAAGCTGGTGACACTGAGCAATGCCAGGACCTGTTTGTGCATCACCAACATGTTCTGGGCATGATCCGTGCTACCTCTGCAGTGCTCCTCAGGAGGTGATGAAACAGCCAGTGGCACCATTTCTCCAAAAGAAGGACAGCAATCCCCTTCAGCAGGGTCACAAATGTGCATTTTGTTTCACATCATCATGTGCAGCAGAGATTGCAAAGAATTTTTGCTGCTTGTTTGAGGAATAAAGGTGCCACCACAAAGGAGCTTGCTAATGGCAGTAAGAAAGGATTTGGAGTGACAAGGTGAAGGCACTTGTGCATGAAGCTGGGGACTCAGTCACGGGGCTCTGTCTCTTTTCTGGCCTTGGTACCTCAGAGGCCTTGATATGATTTTCTCTGCATACAGAGAGAGAGAATGGCTCTGTCTGAAAATGTATGTGCAATGACTGGGTGGGACTTTAAACGTGCAGGTACAGTCTTAAAAGACTGGTTTGGGGGATGAGAGGTGCTAGTTTGCCTCAGTTACTCTGCTTGGGATCACAACGAATGCCAGCACAAAGAGCTGCGCCGCATGTGGCAGTTCACTTTGAGCACTGAACATGTGAAGAGAAACAGAGGCAGAAGGGAGAATATCTAAGGGGGTTGTTGTTGCATTTCCCTCTTAAATATGGTTCCCGTACTGCCCGCTGAGGCTCCCCTCTGGTCTGGGCACATTTCTCACAGCCCAAACCCTTCAGCCTGCAGACACAGCTCAGCACACCCGGTATTGTGGGCTCTAAAAACCTCTGGGTTAGCAGAGTGGCTGGAGGGAGAAAAGCTTTTATCAGTGCTGTGAGGGGCTTTGGGAGGGAGGAAGGGAAAGGAGAGGAATTTGGCCAGTGTCAGTGCTCAGAACAGAATTACTTTGTCCTTTACTTTCACAACCATCAATTCTCCCTCCAACAGAGAGCAATAAATTACTCTTTCCTTTAATGCAGCACAGCAATCCATTTATGAGGAGTGATTGTCTAGTAGTTCTCACTTTGGAGGCTGACCACCTCCATTGTGCTGGATTCCCCAGAAATGCTCTGGGAGAAGCAACGGTGCTAAGAAACAGGTTTGCAGTGAGCCAACGGGCACCCACCATTCCCCATCGGACAGGGAGGGAGGCGTGCGTTCCCATCACGGTCCTTCGTAAATAACCTGCAGGCCATTTTCTTTTTTAAAGGCTTATAATCTAAAATCTCTTTGCTTTACGAACCAGAAGAGTTCAGAATAGTTTGTGTGCAGATGATAAAGCAAAAAGATGGTAATTTAAATCTCTCCATTCAGGATTCTGGCTCTCCAGGAAAATTTCCTTCTTCAATTTAAAATGGATGTAAGTAGAGCTATTTTTTGATGCATCGATCCCGTCTCTCACAAAAGAAATAACCTGGGCCCAAACTCAAATCTTTTTCTTTTTTTCTTTTTCATTTGCTTGTCCTCTCCACATACAGGCTTGCAGCACAGAAGAAAGGAGGAGAGATTTTGAGAAGATCTTTGCACACTATGATGTTGTGAGTCCCAGAGGCCGTTCCCTTGCGGTCTTTAAATGACACAGATTTAACACACGCTGCTCAGACTTCTTCCTCCTGGTGGGTGCTGTGGGGGTCGCTCAGCCCAAGCCCATGGGCCAGAGGGACCCAGGCACCAGGTTAGGGGTAAGGTGGGCACAGTGGGGAGCAATGCTCAGAGACCTCGTGGCAAAGGACCCATTTTGAGTGTTTCCATCTCCATGGCTGGCACTGATGCATTAGCTGTATCTCTGCAGGAGATGCAAGGGCTGTAGAGGGGGAGGTGGCTTTATCTCTCACTGTCTCTGGCAATTTGGGACCTACATCACCACCACCTTGAAAAATAAAACCCCTTTCAGTAGTAAACCTAGAGTTATTTAAGGAGTTTGTTTGGCTTACAACAGACACGGACGCCTAACTGCCTGTTAGAAATCAGCAATTCAGTGCCACTTCTGACAGTCACACAGCTTGCACAGGGTGGTGACCAGCAAGCCTCACAAAACGGTGGGAGGTGTTGCTACCGTTTGAGCGGAAGAGATGGTTTGGGAAAAAGGAAGGGATATTACAGCTTGGTGGTGGCTGGTCCTACTGTCCAGTAAACATTGTTGTGTTTTTGACTTACTGGAGCATTTTGATGTTTCTTCCATCTTTCAGAGTAAAACAGGAGCACTTGAAGGCCCAGAAGTGGATGGGTTTGTCAAAGACATGATGGAACTGGTCAAGGTAGCTCTTTCTATTTAATAATACCCTATATTTCTGCATGGAAGGTGCTTGTTTTGATAAAGTTATGTAAATAGGGAGGCGAGTGAGAGCACAGAGTGAAATTTTGCTTTGATCAGCAGCAAAAATGAATGTCATGGTCTCAGCATTTCACTGTAGAGCATTTTGCCATATCACAGAAATTCTGCCTGACAAATTAATACACCTTCACTCAGCAACTGTATTTAAGAAAGGTCCGTTCTAGCTCATGCTGTGAATTAGGCAGATGCTACAGCATCTCAAATTGTGTTGACGTGGATCTGTCATCACAAGTTCTTTATTCTGTTTTTCACTGCAGATATGGTACTCATGATTCATGAGCTCATCACAGGGCTACACTTGAAAATTACTTCTCTAATCAAGAACACCATGCCCCAGTTTCTTACAGACAGCAGAGTCTGTCTGCATTGGATTACCTCGAGTTTCCAGATGCAGTCCAAGATAGAACTTTTGATGCAAATATAGTCTGGTCTTTGGCTCCCTCTGAGCCTGAGGCTGTTGCTTTTCCACACGATGTGACCCAACACAGGTATGCCTGTGCTCCCATGTCCATTTAGCAGAAAGCAGAGGCTGCAGCTGCATGCTGGTGGCTGCATGTGTATGTTATGGCCACGTGGCATGTACAGAAGAGTGGACAGGCCAGAGGTTGGATTTGTGCTCTGTGCATGTTTGTGCAAAAGAGTGAAGGTTGTACTTTCCCTAAGAACCTTCATTGGCATCATCCTTAGCCACCACAAACTGTACGTGTGGATTTGATCTCCTGAGAACGTGGGAAGCAGAGGAAGTGGTACAGCATTAGGATCATACAGAGACAATGCAGGCTGTGAAGTATGCTTTTAACATTCATTTCATCCACTAAAGGTATTTTTCAGTTGCTGACTAGCCTGTAAAGTAGTAGCCTGCTGGCAGAAATGCCACATTGCTTCTCATGCAGCAGGTTTGAGAGAGGAAGCCAAATGAAAGCACAGGTCCAGCAGTGCAGCTATCACTATTGCACACCTTTCTGCAGACTTTTGTTTGATTTGGATCAGATCCTTGACTAAGCACAAAAACCATGTTCCATTTCCTTACAGTTGCTCACAGTCCCATACACCTAACCATATCCCTTCTGGTTTGACAGGGTGCCCTTTCCCCATTCTCTGTTCGCTTCCCCACCGTATGTGAGCTGACGTGGGATCAGCCCATTTGGTCACTCCTCCTTGGGTGCATTTCCCTGCCACTGCACAGCCTGCTGCTTTACAGGGCTGGGGAAATCCACAGCCATTTTCTCTCTCAGCACCGTTTTCCTCTTTTGCCTGCAGCCCAGCATTAGTGGGGTGGACCTGGACAAGTTCCGCCAGATCCTGCTCAACCACTGCGATGTGAACAAGGATGGGAAAATTCAGAAATCTGAACTGGCTTTGTGTCTTGGGCTTAAAATGAACCCGTAGCTGGGAGAGCACTCGTGGTTGTGCTTCTTTTGTGAGATTTGCCTGCTGCTCCTTGTAGAAGTGTGTCCGTGCTGCCGTGTGAGTGGAGGGGAGCTGGGGCACTGCGCTGCCAGGCTGGAGAGCAGCTGCACAAAGACATGGCAGAGTGGGGTTCACATGGAGGGCCTTCCTGCTCCACCACTCCCTTTGTGATGTTCGCTGCTTCTGGGTCCCCTTTGCAATTTCTCTGCCCACAAGCACACCAGCAGCTCAGGAGAGGGGTTGCTGTTTTTCTGCCCCCATGAAATGGTACCCTGCCTGTCCCCTAGGATGGGGACAAGCATCTCCTTAAAAGCATCTTGCCAGTGCTCTCAGAGTGCAGCTACTAGGTGTTTCTGATGGTCGCCTTATGTGTGAACTCATTACTTTGGTGAGCCTCGTGCTTTGTTTGTGCATTTAAAACACTGGATGGATGACAGTGTATTTGTGCAGAAATAAAAAATGGCAGTTCCAGAAATTCAGTAAGATTGGAGTTTGTGTTATGTGCAGAAAGCCATCTGCTGCAGGCTGGCAGACCACGTGTAGTAACCATTTTGTGTAAAATGCATGAAATGGTAAAGGGGGTTTGTGATGTCTATCAGCTGTGGGGTTTAAATCTGCCAGGAAATGAAACATAGTAGATCCTTCTCATAGGGAAACCACACACACCAGGAAATAATATCACCTCCAGAATGAAGCCACAGAATATCACTTCTGGAGGAAGCCTTTCTTTTGACCCAGACTGAAATATTATACAAGGTTTCTATAACCTGAAGAACTGTAAGGACAGAAGCCTAATGAGAGCAAAGCTTATAAGCACATGCTTATTTTTTTTTAATCCATAAGTGTTAGTAAATACTTTTCACCTTTATTGAATTTAAAGCTTCCCATCACTCCCAGGCCATGAGTGTAATCCTGGAGCCTAGAGGCGGCAGCATAATTTGTGCCACATATTTCCCTATTCCAAAGGTTTTGACTGCGTATTCAGAAAGTGCCACATCTATGCTATCATTTCCAGTGAGAAAATGGTGGAGGAAGGGTTGTTGGCAAAACTCACACACATTTCAGCGTTTCTGTCTCCTATAGATGAAATACCCAGTTTTGACACTGCAAGTGAATTTCTGGTTATGTTCTTTGCACAAGGCAGTACAGTGAAACACCTTTGTACTCGGTTTTATAAAAATTAATCAGAAATTACCTTCAGTCAACACAAACAGAGATGGTTCAATAAAGCACTTAAGAACATATACAACTTTACAGATATGCTCGTTTTCCATTTTCACTGTTGATAAGCTCACAGACCAAACAAGCGCTAAGTGCATATTTCACCCCAGCTCAGAACTAGGGCTTTAAACTCCAAAACTGCTCTTTATCACCCTGGCAGCAGCACAAATCACAACTGCAATAAAAGAGCTTTTCAGTGGTTCAGAAAAACTATAAACAAGGAATGAGGCCTTAGCAGCAGCTCCCCAGGCCATCAGGGATTCACTTTTACTCATGGACACTCACTTCCATTGAGGGAAGAGCTGTGGTCAGGAGTGCAAGGCAACAGATAGGAAGCCAGTGGAGCAATCCCACACGCTGCTGTTTATCAGACATGCTTTATCTCCATCCTGAAGAATTAGCAATAAATATAGTAGGGTACATCACCAACCATCTTTTCATCATATCTCCAATAGGACGTGTCTTATCAGCCTAAATAATTACGCCTTTAAGTATATCTTCTGTTTCACTGTCTTCTTTCAGCCTTTATGTCTTCTTCTTCTTCTTCTTCTTCTTCTTATTATTATTATTATTATTATTATTATTATTATTATTATTTTCTTAAACTACAGTTTCCATTACTTTGGACTTGGGAGCAATTTCTGTATCATCCCTTACAATGTATTTCTAGCTGTAGATATATGTTCTTTATGATATTTGTGTTTTTCAGTGATAGTAGGCCCATTCTGTTTCATCCCTGTTTAAGCCTATTGATGTCAGTAGAGCTTTTTCTCATTTATTAAAGTATAAATTCAAGAATATCCTGTCCCGCCTCACTAAAAATACAGCAACTTTTAACCTAAAATGAAAATAATTTTTTTAAAGACTGTATACAAACACACCTTTTATTTCCAGAATTATACAACACTTCATCCATCTTTATGGAAACCTCATGCTTTTCATATCCTCTACAGTAGATAGGTTTTTTTCAACAAACACTAAGCAGTAATGAATTTGATATGTCAGTGTCACAATGTATTTTGCTTCTTTTCTACAAATTTATGATTTATTTTTTTTAATAGTGAGTTTGCTGAGGCCTTCCTCTCTGCAAGTTCATGCAGCTAGTTTTATTATCTTGAAATAAGTGAGCATACAGCCTTCAGTAAGTGAGTTTGTATGTAACACCATTTTACAAAACAATAACAAAAAGTAATTGGGGATAGTAGATTAAAAGTGTACATACAGAACTCAGAAGAGGTTGTGGGTTTTATTTATTTCTATATTCCTATGAGGATATTTTTTGTGTCCAGACCTATGAGGATATTTTTTGTGTCCAGTGAATAGAGAGCAGAAAAACAGGCGTGCATGCTGCCTTGTTTGCAGGAGCCATAGGGGAGAGCCATATCCCAGTGGGACTCTGGCCCGAGTGAGCTGCGGGTCCCCTATAAGCAAAACAAAACATCAGGAGATGCCGTGGGATTTGAGCCCACATTACAAAGGTCAGCAATGAAATTATTAATGGTCTTATAACCCTCTGGCCTCTAAAAATCAACTTTATTGCAGGAGGCAGGCATTCTGAGACTTCCCGTGGAGAAGATGTGTTCCTTGCTTGCAGAGATTTTTTTTTTTTTTAAATTATTATTTTAACTTCAATAATGAATGCTCTACAAGGCCCTTTGGTCTCAGGCTCTGGTGATTTCATCCCTTTAAACTGCTATAGATGTATAGATAGGCAATAGATTTTGATGAAACATAGCTATTGGCCATTTTGCAAATTCAAAGCGTACTTTGATGTGCAGCATGGAGTCTCTTATGTACCAAAACGTGAGATACTATTTCATATTTGAATGGTTACATGAAAATACCTGGTTTGCATTAATTATATTAAAATTAATTATATTATCCACCATGATGCCTTCTGTGCAGTAAATATATTGAAGATATGCAGGGAAGGTTTAGGGCTGTTCAGTCAGTGCATCTTCTGCCAACAAAATTCTGTGGATATCACATTATTCAGGAGCCTGCGTCTTGGTAACTAGAATGTGAACTCAGAAAGTGAATGAAAATGTTTGCCAGGCTAATTTCCCTTGGTATTTTCCTATTTTCCTCTAGAAAACTGGGATTAAGGGATTCACAGTTTTCTATTTTTTTCATAGGATGCAAATTTACTGAAATAAATTTTAACTGACATGTATCATCATATTCAACAGGTATGTTTCCAAAAGACATTCAGTTACCACAAGCACAGTGCTCTCAAATGTGTGATTCTAAGGCTGAGTTTTTCATTTGTTTGTTTAATTGGCAAACTGCTATATCTGGAAATTAATGTGTGAATTTCCTCAAAACAAAGCTGCTCCTTTGCCTCCCTTTTCACTGTGAACTATGAGTTCGTACCCTGGACTCCTGTCATGCTCATCTTGGCCTTTCTCATTTTTGGCACTTGACATACAGTTTTTTTCTGGATGACTTGCCATGACAACTTTGCTCAGGAGTAGCTGCCTCTTGACAGCTTCAGTTGACTGTGTAGAACTGATACCCATGAAAAATGAACATTTATAGGGCTTTTAAACTCAAATCCATCCCTCGTTTAACTTCATTGATTTCACTGGAAATTATGGTATAGAGACACACTCTTTTCTCCCATCATTTTGAACCTCAACAAGCTGCTTGCTCATCCTGAGCCATCACCATGGAGATCTGCCACTGGAGACCCCCAATTTCCCAAGCCAGCTTCACAATCCCAAATTTCTCACGTGCCAGCTTGTCCTTTGGTCTGTGCATTTTTTTCCCCAGAATAATGGACCCAACTACACATGCTCACCTTCATTCCTCAGTCTGAGCACACTCCACCAGTCTCACATCACTGACACTCAAAACTGGAACCAGATGAGATTCCAGTAACATTTAAGTTTTGTTGGTGCTTTATTTTCAGTAAAAGACTTCTCTCTATTTTTTTCTCCCCAAACCACTTTAAATAACATGGGTGAACCTGCTTGCACATCTAACAAAAACTGCTTTTTATTCCTACTGAAAGCTGAGAATTGAGCATCAGCCCCAAAGAAGGGCTCGAAGTGGGGGAAACCAACACAATAGTTTGTTTAATATGCTTTTCTGTTTGTGTGGCAAGAGAATAGTGTCAATATTAATGAAAACAATTCTGACTAATGCAGCCAACAAGACTATCAGAGAATCATCTGCCACATTATAAGAGGAACCTATCATGAGAAACACCCTAATTACAGCTATTATCTCTTAAAATGGCTGAGTAACTCTTATATTAATCTGATTTGAAACAGAAAGTTGTTGTTATGCAGTGAGATGTTAAATAGGGTTTTGCTGTGTAATTGCATAGGGTAAAGTAACTATGAAAGTCATTTTTGTATGAGGGCTACACTGACAGCTAATGAAAAGCTCTCATTTTCTGGCACCTGTATTTTCAGTAATTCCACAAAGAACTGTGTCTCATTTCAAGGAACACTAGCACATGGGAAAAAGAGAAGAAAAGAGCGACACATTCGGAAATCCTGTTTGGGTGGCTGTTTGAACAGGTTGCTGTCATATGACACTTTGCCTGACGTGTCTCTAACTTTGATGGTGCAGCCAAACATAGTTTTTATTTACCGTTGTTAATCCTTAGGAAACAGGTTAATTTCTCCAGCGGATAAAAACTAGGAGCCCGCAGACTGCTAGGGTTTTCCGTGCCAGCAGGGGTGAGAATGTGCCTGGGGAAATCTTGGGTTTAAATGGGGATCTAGGCAGGAACCAGGCAGCAGAGCCTGGAGGAACATAGCACCTGTGATTTAGGTGAGTCCTGCTTCAGCTGGCAGCCGTGGCAGGGGAAGCCAGTTGCTGTGGCTTAGAGGAATCATAGAATCGTAGAAT